GAGCTGGCCAGTAAAAAGTTCCTTCCAGCCACCCCTTCTTTCTGATGCATTTTAGGACCCACTTAGTCCCTCCTCCCTTATTCCTTCAGGATATGCAGCCCCAGTAGGGGCCACCCATGGGCTTCCACCTGCTGGCCTTGGCCCCGCTGGGCTTTGGAAGGAGAGTGAGCCTCCTGTTCGTTACAGAGAAATTATGCATGTGAAGGGGACCTCTGCAGTTTGGGGGCCTGGGGTAGGAACCACCATGGAGGAACCTGGGCAGCCAAGGCAAGCTCAGGGCTGGACGGAGGCAGGGGGCCAGGCTGGGATGGGCCTTGCTCTGAGGCCCCATGCCTCAGCTCCTCAGACCGCCAGGGACAGGACAGTGGCAGGATCAGGGACTATGGGGACCCGCTCTGCCTCAATCCCGCTGGCCTTTATCCCAGAATGGGGTGGGGGCTGAGGCTGACCCCGCTCTACTGGCCAAGATCTTCTCCAAAGCTCTTCCTCCACTCCTCCCTCCTTCTGGAGCTGGCCCCCTGCTGCACCGCCGCCGCTGAGAGAGAGCCTTGGGCTTCCGGAAGAGGTGCAAGACCAGCTGGAGTAAGGCTCGGAGGTGGGAGCGCACAGGGGCTGCCGGCAGGACACCAAGTAACTGAACAAAAGGAAGTGAGCCAGTGTGAGCAAAAGCCTGGAAGGAAGCACCCTCTGAAGTTGAGATAATGAGTAGTTTTATTTCCTTCTTTGTTACATCCTATATCCTCCAAATCTTGAGAGTAATTTTTTTTTCCAATCAGAAAGGACATAGGGGCGCCTGGGTGGCTCAGTTGATTGAGGGTCAGACTCTAGGTTTCAGATCAGGTCACGATCTCGGACCTGCATTGGGCTCTGCACTCAGCAGGGAGTCTGCTGGGATTCTCTCTCTTCCTCTCTCTCTGTCCCTCCCCACGCTCACACGCTTGCTCTTTCTCTAAAATAAATAAATAGGGGCGCCTGGGTGGCTCAGTCGTTAAGTGTCTGCCTTCAGCTCAGGTCATGATCCCAGAGTCCTGGGATCGAGCCCCGCATCGGGCTCCCTGCTCGGCGGGAGGCTTGCTTCTCCCTCTCCCACTCCCCCTGCTTGTGTTCCCTCTCTCGCTGTGTCTCTGTCAAATAAATAAATAAAATCTTAAAATAAAAATAAAATAAAATAATAACTAAATCTTAAAAAAACACACAAAGAAATCCACTGTCATTATTAAAAAAAAGAAAGAAGAAAGGAAATAGTCCCTTACACTTACAGAGCATTTTCTTATTTACCTAATATCTAGTCCTTTTATGTTCTTTCTTTCAAGCAATAATAATCTTATTTGTGAGGCGGATATTATTAGTTAATTTTGGAGTTAGGGACTCTGAGATTCTATGGTGGTGAATGACTGTCTGGAAGGCACAAAATGAGCAGTGGGATCGGGGAACTTTGAGCCAACCTGGTAAGGCTGAGCATGAGCAACATGATGGTGGCCAATAAGATTCTGGGGCGCCTGGGTGGCTCAGTCATTAAGCGTCTGCCTTGGGCTCAGGTCATGATCCCAGGGTCCTGGAATCAAGCCCCGCATCAGGCTCCCTGCTCCGCGGGAAGCCTGCTTCTCCCCCTCCCACTCCCCCTGCTTGTGTTCCCTCTCTCGCTGTGTCTCTCTCTGTCAAATAAAAAAATAAAATCTTAAAAAAAAAAAAGATTCTGCTAGTCTTGGTTCCTCTTTCTTTCTGTGTCTCCCCCTTCCCAATCCCTGGGCGTCAGTCCATTGAGTCACATCATTAACTCCATTAACTCATTTATAAAATAAATATGCACTGATAACCCACAGGGCGTTCCATTATTTTTAAGGCATTCTTTATTCTTATTCATATATTTTTTAAAAAGTTTTATAATTAACATACAATGAATTACATATATACAAGGTGTACACTTGGATAAGTCTTGACATACATGCTCATATGAAATAAGCACAACCAAATCAAATCAATGGACCGATCTATCACCCCCAAAAGTTTCTTTGTGCCTCCTTATGATCCCTCTCTCTTGACAATCATGCCTCTATCCCCAAGCAAACACGGATCTGCTTTCTGTCATTACAGATTAGTTTGCATTTTCTAGTTTTATAGAAATATAATCACACATCATAAATTTTTTATGTGTTGCAAAGTATAGATTCAAGTTGATAATTTTTGCATTCAGATATCCAATTGTTCCAGCACCATTTGCTGAAAAGGCTGTCCTATTCTTAGTTTGCTTAGTATTTTTATCATGAAAGGATATTGAGTTTTTGTCAGATGCTTTTCTGCATCTATTGAGATGATCATGTGGTTTTCCTTTGCCCTATAAATGTGCTGACATTGATTTTCCTAGGAATTCACCCTTGGATTCCCAAGATAAATCCCACTTGTTTACAGTGTATAATCATTTTTAATGGGCCATTGGATATGATTTACTGGTATTTTGTTGAGATTTGTATCTATATTCATAAGGAATATTGGTCTAGAGTTTTCTTATGGAACTTTCTTTGGCTTTGGTATCAAGATAATGCTGGCCTCATAGAATCTGTTAGAAAGGGTTCGCCTCCTCTTCTGTTTTTTGGAAAAGTCTGAGAAATATTGCTGTTAATTCTACCTTTGATATTTGGTAGACATTTACCAGTAAAGCCATCTGATCCTGGACTTTTCTTTGTTAGGAGGTGTTTTAATTTATTAAGATTTGTTTTGTGGCCTAACATATGGTCTGTCCTGGAGAATGTTCGGTGTATACTTGAGAACAGTGTATATTGTTTCATTGGGAGGAGTGGTGTGTATGTCTTTTAGGGCTAGTTGGTTTCTAGTGTTTTTTAAGTACTCTATTTCTGTATTGATCTTCTGTATAGGATATTCTGTCCATTATTGAAGGTAGGGTACTAACGTCTCCAGCTCTTCTCGTAGATGTGTCTATTTCTCCCTTCATTTCTGTCATTGCGTCATACAGCTGCTTCATGAACTGACCCTTTTATCCATATATAATGTCCTCCCCTTTGTCTCTTGTAACAATTTTTGATTCAACATCTGTTTTGTCTAGGAGCGCCCGGCTGGCTCAGTCAGTAGAGCATGTGACTCTTGATCTCGGGGTCATGAGTTCGAGCCCTATGTTGGGTGTAGAGATTACTTAAATAAATTCTTAAAAATAAATAAATAAAATAAAATAGAATAAAATAACATCTATTTTGTCTAGTATTAGCAGAGCCACCCTGGCTGTCTTTTGGTTACTCTTCTCAGAGAATACATTTTTCCATCCTTTCACTTTCAGCTTGTGTCTTTGGGTCTAAACTGAGTCTCTTGGGACGCCTGGGTGGCTCAGTCGGTTGGGCGTCTGCCTTTAGCTCAGGTCATGATCCCGGGGTCCTGTGATCCAGTCCCACATCAGGGTACCTGCTCAGTGGGGAACCTGCTTCTCCCTCTGCCTGCCGCTCCTTCTGCTTGTGCGCTCCCTCTCTCTCTCTGTTTCTCTGACAAATAAATAAAATCTTAAATTAAATAAATAAAGTGAGTCTCATAAGCAATAGATACTTAGATTTTTTAAAAATATTTTTGACCATTTTAAAGTGTACAGTTCAGTGGCAATAAGTACATTATTGTGCAACCGTCACCACCATCCATCTCCAGAACTTTTTCTTCTCCCTGAACTGAAACTCCATACCCATTAAATAATAATTCTCCATTTCCCCTTACCCCACCAGCGCCCGGCAACCACCATTCTACTTTCTGTCTCTATGAATTTATTACAAGGATATGTAAAGTACTAGGTGCCTCATATAAGTGAAATCATAAGCATCTATCTGTCCTTTGTAACCGTTTTTTTTTTCACATAGCATAATGTCCTCAAGGTTCAGGCATGTTGTAGATATGTCAAAGTTTCACTTTTTTAAGGACGAGTAATATTTCATTGTATTGTATGTACCATATTTTGTTTTTCCATTTATCTGTCAGTGAGTGCTTGGGTGCTTCCATCTTTTGCCAAATGTGAATAATGTTGCTATGAACACAAATGTACAAATATCTGGCCGAATCCTTGCTTTCAATTCCTTTGCATATATACTTGCGTAGAATTGCTGGATCATATGGTAATTCTATTTTTAATTTTTTGAGGAACCGCCATACTGTTTTCTATAGTGACTATACCTTTTATATTCTCACCAACAGTACACAAGAGTTCCAATTTTTTCTACCTCCTCACCAACATTTGCTTATTTTATGTTTTGTTGTGTTCTAAGTAACAGCCATCCTAATGTGTGGGAAGTGGTATCCTGTGGTTTGATTTGCATCTCCCCAATTAGTGATGTTGAGCATCTTTTCATGTATATACTGGCCATTTGTTATGTTCTTTGGAGAAAGGTCTATTCAATTCCAGTTAGATCATTTGTATTTATTTTCAGTTAGATCATTTTTAAATCCATTCTACCAATCTGTCTTCTTTTGTGTGTAGTAAAATATAAATGAAATTTACCATTAAGTATACAATTCAGTGGTATTAAGTACATTCATAATATTGTACAATCATCACCAAGCTCTGTTTTTTTTTTTGTTGGTGAGCTTAATCCATTTACATTTAAAGTCATTACTGGGGCACCTGGCTGGCTCAGTCGGTAGAGTATGTGACTCTTGATCTCCAGGTCTTGAGTTCAAGCCCCATGTTGGGCGTAGAGATTACTTTAAAAAATAATAATAATAAAAAATAAAGTGATTACTGATTTAAAGGATTTACTTTTGCAAGTGTTCTTTTCTAGATGTCATATTTTTTGTTCCTCAACCCTTCCAATACTGCCTTCTTTCATGTTTGATTTTTTTCTAGTGTACCTTTTTGATTTCCTCTTCATTTCCTTTTCTGTATATTTTCTACTTGTTTTCTTAATGGTTACCATAAGGATTACAATTAACATCCTAAGATTAATAGCTAATTTTTCATGAGACCCCATGAAGGCCAGAAACAAATAGGATGATATGTTTAAAGTATGGCTAGGGTGCTCACTTCAGCAGCACATATATGAAAATTGGAACAATACAGAGATTAGCCTGGCCCCTGCATGAGGATGACATGCAAATTCATGAAGCATTCCATATTTTTCAAGCTACGCTTACAAAAAAATCAACTAAAATGGGGGCACCTGGGTGGCACAGTCATTAAGCATCTGCCTTTGGCTCGGGTCATGATCCCGGGGTCCTGGGATCAAGCCCTGTGTCAGGTCCCTGCTCTGCAGGAAGCCTGCTTCTCCCTCTCCCACTCCCCCTGCTTGTGTTCCCTTTCTCGCTGTCTCTCTCTCTCTGTCAAATAAATAAATAAAATCTTAAAAAAAAAAAATTAAAATAAAGTACTGACAGAAGAGGGGGGAGGGAACTGTCAACCAAGAATTCTATATCCAGAAAAACTATCCTTCAAAATTAAGAAGTTCCTAGATAAACAAAAACTAATGGGATTAGTTGCTAGTAGACCTGCCCTACAAGAAATGTTAGAGGGAGTCCATCAGAGTGAAACAAAAGGGCACTAGATGATAACTCAAAGCCACATAAAGAAATAAAGATCACTGGTAAAGTAACTACACAGAAAAAATTTTAAAGAGTAGTAGTATTTTATTTTTGGTATATAACTCCTCTTTTTGTTTCTTATATGATTTAAAAGATGCATAAAACAATAATCATAAATCTATGTTCACATGTACACAATGTATAAAGATGAATTTGTAACAGTAACAACATAAAGGGGGTATGGAATTGGATAGGAGGCATTAATGTATGCTATTAAAACTAAGATGGTATCAATTCAAACTAGATTCATATAAATATAAATATAAAAGTGCACTTAGGTAATTTGTGTTTTTCCATGTGTTCTCCATTTCAACTAAGTTGTTGAATTTATTGGCATAAAGTTGTCTCTAATATCCCCTTATTATAAAAATCTGTTGTGATGTCACCTCTCTCATTCCTGATATTGGTGATTTTTATTTTTTATTTTTCCTGATCATTCAGGTTTATCTCTTTTGTTGATCTTAAGCAACTTTTGGTTTTGTTGATTTTTCTTTATTTTTCTGTTTTCTATTTCAAAGATTTCTGCATTGATCTTTGTTATTTTCTTCTGCATACTTTGGTTTCAGGTGGAAGCTGAGGTCATCGACATGAACTTTTTTTTTTAAAGGCAGTTAGTGCCATAAATTTCTCTAATAGAGATGCCCCACAAATTCTATGTTGTGTTTTCATTTTCATCAGTTCAAAATACATCCTAATTATTATTTTTTAAATATTTTTTAAATTTTATTTTTAAGTAATCTCTACAAACAACATGGGGCTCGAACTTACAACCCTGAGATCAAGAGTCACATGCTCTACCTACTGAGCCAGCCAGGCATCCCCCTAATTATTATTATTTTTTAAAGATTTTATTTATTTATTCATGAGAGACAGAGAGAGAGAGAGAGAGGCAGAGGGAGAAGCAGGCTCCCAAGGAGCAGGGAGCCCAATGCGGGACTCGATCCCAGGACCCTGGGATCATGACCTGAGCTGAAGGCAGACGCTCAACCATCTGAGCCACCCAGGCGCCCCCCCCTAATTATTTTTTGATCTAGAGGTGTGTTACTCATTTTCCAAACATTTGAGGATTTTCCAAGGATCTTTCTGTTACTGGTTTCTTTTTTCTTCCTCTTTTTTTGAGAGAGAGACTGATGGTGGGGAGGGGCAGAGGGAGAGAGAGAATCTTAAGCAGACTCCACACTTAGCTCAAGCCCAATGCAGGGTTCGATCTCATGACCCGAGCTGAAATTAAAAGTCGGACGCTTAACCGACTGAGCCACCCAGGCACTCCAGAATCTTACAATAATATATTTCCATTTCTTGTCTAGCCTTTACACTATTGACATAATACATTTTACTTTTACATATGTTAACTTGAGTCCTTTTAAACTTGAGACCTGTTTTATGGTCCAGAATATGGGCTATTTTGGTAAATGTTCTCAGTGCACAAACCCGCAGTACATTATCATTTTTTTAACCACAATTATTTTGTTAAAAGATGTAACTAATAAGAAAAAAAAGTATATACTTAGGTAGTTACCATTGCCAGAGCTCTTCATTCCTTTGGGATTGAAGGATAGGTCCATATTTTTACTTGGTACCATTTTCTTTTTGCCTGAAGAAATTCCTTTAACATTTTTTGTAGTGCAAGTCTGCTAGTGATGAATTCTTTCAGTTTTTATATATCTGAAGATGTCTTTATTTCACCTTTGTTTTTGAAAGATATTTTTTATGAAGTTTTCATTTGAATTCCAGTATAGTTAACATACAGTGTTATGTTAGTTTCAGGTGTACAATATAGTGATTCAACACTTCCATACATCACCCAGTGCGCATCATGACAAGTGCACTCCTTAATCCCCAGCACCTGTTTCACCCATCCCCCCCGCCTACCTCCCCTCTGGTAACAACCTGTTTGTTCTCTATAGTTAAGAGTCTGTTTCTTGCCTTCTCTCTCTCTCTGAGTCTTTTTTCCTTTGCCCATTTTTTTTTTGTTTCTCAAATTCCACATGAGTGAAACATTGTATTTGTCTTTCTCTGACTTACTTTGCTTAGCATTATAGTCTCTAGCTCCATCCATGTTGTTGCAAATGGCAAGATTTCATCCTTTTTTATGGCTGAAAAATACTCCATTGTATATTTATACCACATCTTCTTTATCCATTCATCTATCAGTGGACCCTTGGGCTGCTTCCATAATTTGGCTATTGTATGTTTTTGAAAGATAGTTTTGCCTAATGTTCTACATTGGGAGGTTTTCTTTCAATACTTTAAAGATATTATTTCACTGTCTTCTTACACGGGTTGTTTGGGGTGAAAATCTGACGTCATTCTTTTTTTTTTTTTTTTTAAGATTTTATTTATTTATTTGACAGAGAAAGAGCACAAGTAGGCAGAGTGGCAGGCAGAGGGAGAGGGAGAAGCAAGCTCTCTGCCGAGCAGGTAGCCGAACGTGGGGCTTGATCCCAGGACCCCAGGATCATGACCTGGGCCGAAGGCAGCTGCTTAACCAACTGAGCCACCCAGGCGCCCCAATCTGATGTCATTCTTAACTTTGTTCCTCTGTACCTTACATCTTTTAAGATTTCCTCTTTATTACTCATTTTAAGCAATTTGATTATAATGTGCCTTCATATAGTTTTTTTTTCCATGTTTCTTGTGCTTGGGGTTTATTGTGTTTCCTGGATCTGTGGGTTTATAGTCTTCATTACGTTTGGAAAACTTTCAGTCACTATTTTTTCAAATATTTTTGTCCCCTCTTCTTTTTCTTCTGGGTCTCTAATTACCCATATATTAGGCCATTTGAAATTGTCCCACAATTCACTGGTGCTCTTGTAATTTTTTTTTTGTTTCTTTCATTTTGGATAACTTCTATTCAAATGCCTTCATGTTCACATATCTTTTTTTCTGCAGTATCTAATCTGCCATTAATCTCATCCAGTGTATTTTTCATCTTGGACATTGTAGATTTCATGTCAGAAATTCAATTTGAGGCTTTTTTATACCTTCCTTGTCTCTCAACTTTTTGAACATAAGGAATACAATTATAACTGTTTTAATGTCCTCCTTAGGCCCTACATCTTTCAGTTCTGGGTCAGTTTCAGTTGATTAGAGACTGTGTTTTCCTGCCTCTTTGCATGTCTAAGTATTTATGGATCCATTTTTTTAACGGGTGCCACACATTATGAATGTTACCTTATTGAGGGCTGGATAGCTGCATTCCTATAAATCTTGAGCTTTGTTCTGTAATGAATTTACATTACTTGTCAATAATGTGATCTTCCTAAGTGTTGCTTTTATGATTTGTTAGTTAGGTCCAGAGCAGCGGGACACAAAGATGAGCAAGGCATTAGTGAAAGTGCATACATAAGCCCAGGCACTAACCAAAACCACAGGGCAAGGGGACAGTCAAAACTTGATCAGGGTGGGGGCGCCTGGGTGGCTCAGATGGTTAAGCGTCTGCCTTCGGCTCGGGTCATGATCCCAGGGTCCTGGGATCGAGCCCCGCATCTGGCTCCCTGCTCCGCGGGAGGCCTGCTTCTCCCTCTCCCACTCGCCCTGCTTGTGTTCCCTCTCTCGCTGTGTCTCTCTCTGTTAAATAAACAAATAAAATCTTAAAAAAAAAAAACTTGATCAGGGTGGCAGAGTGCAGCCTCAGCTCTGCCCTGTGTCTCCCCTTCCTGAGGTTGCAGCAGCATGAAGAGAGCAGGGAGGGTTGGAGTATTCCCTGGCTAGGCCTGGGGTACCCTCATGGGATCTGAAACCTTATCCCAGGAGCAAACCAGCTTCAAACACAGACATGGAACAGATGCTGGCACAGGGCTGTCCAGGAAGAGGGCCCACCTGTCATTCCCTTATCCTTCACCCTTGTTGATCACACCAAGGCCCCGGGAAGTCATCACACTGCTCAGGGCCTCAGCTTACTCATCTGTAAATTGGGGTCACCCCACCTGACCTGCCTAGCTCAGAATGGTGTTCTGTCCCGGGATTAAGGGAGGTAAAAACATGCTGAGTTTCTGACACTGAGACCCCAGTCCTGTCTACGCACTGGCTTAGCCAGTTGACCACTAAGCCCACTCCTACAGGGCCCTCAAGATATGTGGTCAGAAGCTGTGAGGATGAGGACAGAGGTTGGATGTGTGGGCAGCCAAGGCGATCTGGATTCTAAAACCTATCATTTGATCCTAACCTGCTTGCAAGGCAGGCTCCACCGGGGAAGGTGGCCTCCTCCCTCTGCCCTCAGCTCTGATAGAAGCCTGGGATGAGGGGCGCCTGGGTGGCTCAGTTGTTGGGCGTCTGCCTTCGGCCCGGGTCATGATCCCGGGGTCCTGGGATCGAGCCCCGCATCGGGCTCCCTGCTGGGCGGGAGGCCTGCTTCTCCCTCTCCCACTCTCCTTGCTTATGTTCCTGCTCTTGCTGTCTGTCAAATGAGTAAAATCTTAAAAAAAAAAAAAAAAAAAAGCAGCAGCAGCGGCCTGGGATGAGTGGTCTCCTTACTCTTCAGACTCAAAAGCCTGAGAATACCAGGAATCCACCCGGAGCCTCCAGACCCGGGCATTTCTGTCATTCCTTTCCCCTTATCTCTGATTTCCTACCAGTCAGATGATGGTGTCTGAAGGCAAGAGGCCAGAGTTCCCAACTGCCCTCTGGTTCTAGGTTGGGTCATCTCTGCATCAGACCTGCCCCAATCCAACCTCTGGAAGGGCCTGAGGAAACAGGCCAGACCAGACCAAGTGGCTCAACCATGTCCGGGCCACTGGCTGTCTTTGGCAAGAATAAGGTGATACAGATTAGCCCCGTATCTCCAGTAGCACCCAAGGACCCTGGAGAGCCTCAGCCTGGTTCAGCTCCCACAACTTTTATGTTCTTGGGTGGCTTCCATCACCTGCCAGTCTGGAGTTTTCCTAACCGTGTGTGATTTGGAGGGAGAGGTGGCAAGATCTGGGTACAAAGCTACACACACGTATTTGAGGTAACTGTAGATTCACATGCAGTTGTAAGAAATAATAGACATCCCTTGCACGCTTTGCCTAGCTTCTCGCAATGCTAACTTTTGCACAACTATAGCAGAATATCACAACCAGGATGCTGACATTGGTAAAATCCATCGATCCATCTTCAGTGTGCCGCTGTAATGACGAGACCTCGAAAGCTTTCGAATTTACCTACTTCTCAAGTTGCTTGTGGCCCAGGGGGACTGCACCCCGCGACACCATCTGTGCCCCCGGGAACCGGACGGAGGTTAGCGGGGGCTTTAACAGGGCGTGGTGTGTGCCAGACTCCTTATCCACGTCATCGCTTAATCCTCACAAGAGCCTGTTTCAGACTGAGGCGCAGAGAAGGGTGGAGGGTAAGTGGGTCCCAGGCCGCATGGCTGAGCAGAGGCGAACCCAGGCCTGCCTACTCTAGCTACCCTTAGAGCATAGCCCAGAGGGCCGCTGGGGCCCTAGGAAGCTTGGATGGCTCCGCAAACACTAGTGGAGTCCTTGGGGGCCCCGGGCAGGGTCCCGGTGGCGGGGAGAGCAGCCAGGCGCCGCACGCCCGGACTAAACTTCGGGGCGTGGCTTGGCCCTACACCTGGGCTCCACCCCGGAGCACGAGGAAGCCCGACGGCCCGCCGCAGCCTGCAACGGGAGCTCCCCGGCGCGAGCCCTCAGCGGGGGTCCGCCCCGGGGGACGCCGGGAAGCCGCCCCGGCCCCGCCCCGCCCTTCCCCGCGCGCTCTCCTCCCCCCGCTGCGCAGCGCTCGCCTGCCCCCTGCTGCCGCGGGGTGGACCCTGCAACCTGGGCCCTCCCCGCCTCCGCACGGCGCACCCCCCACCTCCGGATTGGCGGCTCCAGAAGTCTCCGGGCCGTCCGCCTTCCGCCACCGGATTGGCTGCGTCCCGGGACTGAGGCCCCGCCCATTTCCCCGGGTCCTTTGATCACGCGCCTGCCGACTCTTCCGGGGCCTGGGAGCCAAGCGAGGGCGTTCCTGTCCGGGCTGCAGCGGCGGGAGGTAAGGCATGATCGGGTTGGATGGGCTACAGAGCGCCGGTACGGGTCCACGTCTTGGGGTGCCGGGATTCCAGGATGCCCGGGCCCTCTGCGCAGCCCCCAGACCTCCCTCCCCCGGCCTGAGCCGCCCAGCGCCGTGGGAACTACCTCCCACTCGCCGATGCTGCTCCGCATCCTAGGAGCGGCCCGACACCCGCCCCACCTCGGCAGGTCCCCTCGACCATGGGACGGTGTGCATGCGACTGGGCAAGCTCGGTGCTTCCGCGGACACCGGGACAGGTAGTTCATACCTTGCCCTCCAATGGAGACCCAAGCGAAGCGGGGTCGGGGACCTTGGGGTCTGTGTACAGGAGCCCATCGACAGTCTTGCATCCGTCGATGGGAGCTGACCCTCTCACCTCCGCCTGTCAGCCCAGGCTAAGAGGGGAGGGACATGGGCGGAGCCCCGGGTGCGGACCAGAGGGAGGTGACATCACCTCGCAGATACAATCCAGCCCTGCCCACTTGTGTCCACCCTGGCACGAGACCAATGGGGGAGAGGCTGTCCCGGCTCTGTCTGCAGTAACACCAGGGACAAGGAGGGCACAGGGAAGGCCTATAGCCTAAAGTGTGGGGATTGGACCAGGACTGAGGCAGGCTCCTTCAGATGCTCCTACCTCACCCCCTGGGCCCCACAGTGCAGGACCCTCATATTTTTGTCAGATCTCCCCCTTTTGCTCCGCTGGATAGGTGCTGGTGGCCCAGTGTCCTAAGGGTGGGAATAGGAGCTGGGAACGTGTAGCTAAACTTTTCCCAGTTGCCATGTGCAAATGTTTGGCCAGCACCTGAGCCGGGCCCCACCCTGATTTGGGGATAGGAGCCGGGCAGGACTCGGGGCCTCCCCTTGGTGCCCTCTACACCCAGATTTCCCTGGAGTCACTGGAGGGTTAAACCTGGCACATTGACCTGGAGGATCCCTCGTCCCAGGGCCTGACCTAAGTTTTGATACACCACCAGCTCTTGGGGAGGGATCCAGAGCTTGGACGTCACCCTGGGTGAAATAGATAACCTCCCTTTCTCCTCCCCAGGGAGCCCAGTGGAGGCGCCCTCCCGAAGCACTACTGCCCATGCTGACCCCCTGGCCCAGCGGCCGCCGATGTCATGAGTAACACCACAGTGCCCAACGCCCCTCAGGCCAACAGCGACTCCATGGTGGGCTATGTGCTCGGCCCTTTCTTCCTCATCACCCTGGTTGGGGTGGTGGTGGCTGTGGTAAGGAGCCTCCACATACACACATACGCACCCACACCTCTGCTGGGGCAGGGCGGGGGGGGGGGTGTCTCAGCTGTCCTGCTGTGAGGGGTGAAGGGGGTAGAGGTGGGTCTCCTGTGGGCCATCCTGGGCTCAGCAGCCTCCACAGCGCCGTGTCTCTGTTACAGGTAATGTATGTCCAGAAGAAAAAGCGGTGAGTGTCCCTGTCCCCAGCGTTACCTCCCCTGCATTCGGCTTACCATTCTTCCCATAGGATCAGGTTCTCCACATCCACGGTTGAGATGCCCCTCGGCTTTCTCTACACCCCACTGTTAGGTTTTCCTGCCCAAACTGGGCTTACCCACCAAAGAGGGACCCCATCTAGAACTGGGCACGGATTCTCAGAATCCTAGTGTGCCCCCAGAGGCACCTGCTGGAAGTGCCCCTGCCTTGGAGAGTAGAGACAGGGCAGTCAGGTGTTGGGAGTGGGCAGCCCCTGGGCTGAGCGCCCTCCCCTGCTCCCCAGGGCGGACCGGCTTCGCCATCACCTGCTCCCCATGTACAGCTACGACCCCGCTGAGGAGCTGCATGAGGCTGAGCAGGAGCTGCTCTCTGATGTGGGAGACCCCAAGGTGAGCACTCTGGGGGCAGGGAGACTCAGAGGGCAGTCTGCTGCTGTCTTCTCATCCGTCCTCCCCCTGAAACCCAGAGCTCGGTTCTGCCCTCAGCCCTCCCCATTTGGGCCAGGGTTAGTGGGGTGCCCCCCCCGGGGGTGCTGCGGCCTCTGCCCTGGACCCCAGCCCTGTGGCACCGTTTCCTCCCCCACAGGTGGTACATGGCTGGCAGAGTGGCTACCAGCACAAGCGGATGCCCCTGCTGGATGTCAAGACCTGACCTGACCCCCTGCCCTGCTCTCCAGAACCATGGGGTCTTGGGAGTGCCCGGGGCCTGCGGCTTCCTTCCCCACTTGCACTCACCCAGCTCCCCCTGCTGGGAACTGGGTCTCCTCTCCTCCCATCCAGCCCCAGCATCTCGCCACCCCCCCCCCCCCCCCCCGCCCCGCCAGGCCTTCAGTCTTTGGTGGGCTGAGCCTCCCACCAGCTCCCCCGGGCTAATGAAGTTTTTCCTGCCCAGTTGGGTGGTTGGAGACATTTTCCTGGGCACCACCTTTCTCTTGAGCCTTCCCCAACCTGGCTTTGGATTTGTTTCCATGGTGACAGGGCCTAATGTATAGTATTCAGTATATATATTTTGTAAATAAACTGTTTTGTGGCTAGGGTGTGGTTGCTTTTTTCAAAAGAGGCTTAAGTTACCTTCCCTGGAGCTAATGCTTTTCCTCCCCCCTCCCCCAGCCTGAAGAGCTGGACAGAGCCCACAGGAGAATCACCCCCACCAACTAGGTCCTTGGCTTCCACCCTTACCTAACCCCAGGGACCCACCATAGAAGGACTCCGGTCCAGAAAAGGTATTTTTTTTTATTCAAGTAACTGCAAATAGGAAACCAGATGGGGGGGCCCCAGGCTGGGACAAATAATGGCTCCCTCCTCCCCGGCAGAACAGGGGGGAGAAGGTGACCCTACACCCTCGACGGTCAATACAGGCCCCCCCCCACTCTGCTGCAGCATCCTAGGGGCAGGGCCCCACCTTCCCTGGGACTGGGGTGGTCGGTAACCCAGCCTGCTCTGCCCGGGCCCCTTCCCCTAAGAGCCTCTCAGAGGAGGGGAACGTGGGCAGAACAGGAGGCGGCAATGAGGATGAACATTTGGCGCTGGTCGCAGCAGCAATGACGGATGTCTAAGAATGGAAACATGGAACGAAAACAACGCAACTGTCCAGAGGTAGTTTGTGAACAGAGGAAAAGATGGAACCAGAACCTTGGGGGGTGGGGAGGAGCAGAAGGGTGGGAGTGGGCAAGGCTAGCTCCTTGTTATTAGTGCCCCATGTGAGGAAAGGGGAAACTGAGGCCTAGGGTGGAAGCGGATGGGGTTGGGCAGGGGCTCCAGCCCACCTGAGGAGGCCGCCGCAAGGAACCTGGGCCTCCTGGACCTCACCTGGAGAAAGGGGGACTGCATTTCCCTCACGGCAATAGATTCCGGGGGGGGAGGGGAGGTGGGCTGGAGCCCATTCAGAGTAGGGGGCTCAGACCCCTCCTGCCTTCCTTCCTGTGCCCAAAGGGGGCCGTCCGACCTAGAGCAAGGACCAGGCAAGGGAGGAGGGAAGGAAAGTGGGTGTGCGCCGCACCTCGGGAGACACAGGCCGCTCGGGGGGCCTCCTGGGGCCGAGCGCCGCCCCCCAGTGGCCATGCCTGCTGTTGCCAGTGCTGTGGAGCGGGGCAGATCAGAATGAGACGGGGCGCGGGCCCCTTTTAAGGCCAGGGGAGCCCTCCCAGGCCCCTTAGTGGGAAGCCAGAGAGAAGAACGGGGAAGCAGAAGGGACCCCCCCAAACCAAGAGCCCAGTCAGCAGCGTCCCCACCAGAGCATGGGGACGCAGAAGGGGCAGGGTGCGGCGAGGTGGGCAGTCAGTCGGCTTTGTCTGGAAGGGCTAGTGTGCGTGTGGGTGAGGGCTCGCTGAAAACCACGGGAAACTGCTCCCCACTCGGGCCTTGGGGCCCCGCAGCGGCTGGTGTGCTGTGTAGTGTGGTCGGAGGGCGCAGGTGGGTGGCGGCGGTGCGTGGGCCTGGGGGGGGCGGGGGGAGCGGAGCGGCGCTGTCCAGTCCCGGAGGGAAACTGCTCCTCGGCGGCGAAGGAGCGGGCGGCGCGGCGCGGTCACTGCTCCTCCTCGGAGGACTCCTGCGAGATGCCCTCTTCTTCCTCCTTCTCCTGTGAGGTGGGCAGGCCAGTCAGCACGGGGGGGCGGGGGCGGCCGGCCAGGGTGGCCCCCAGCACTCCCCGGGCTCCCTGGCTCTCCAGAAGGGGGATGAGTCAGGGCTGAGTGTGTGAGTGACTCAGCAACCTCCACGGCCCAGTTTCATTCATAAAAAAGGAAGAATTTAAAGGGAGGGAAAAAAACCCCACACACATGCTGCTCTCGCCCAGAGCCAGGCCCCCTCGGCCCCAGGACCTGTGGGGGGGGGGGGAACCTGCAGAGCTCGGAGCCTCACCGGACTGGGGCAAGTGAGGAAGTCACTGGCTTTCTGTAGAGGGGGAAGGGAGAGGTGGCGGGAAGGGGCAGCTGCAGGGTGCAGTGCAGGGGGACCAGGTGGCCTTGGCCCGCAGGGGCAGCACAGGGGCTGTGGAACGAGGCCAGGGCGGGGACGAAGGGGAAGTGTGTGCCGCCGGGGCTCACTCACTGGGCGGGAATGTCCGCACACCACACGGGCCTGCGGCCCCCGTGCCAGGCACAAACTCCAAAACAACTCGCTTCCTGTTACTCACTCCTGGGGCCCTGCCAGCATCCCCTAACCCCCCTCCTCACCCTGGTGGTGGCTCAGCTCGAGGAATGAAGGCCTCAGGGAGTTCAGGGAACAGGTTGGGGGATAGAAAAGGGCCAGGAGAAACAAGGCTGGGGTGGCCTTTAACTTCAGCGTAGGCCCTAGAGGCAGCCTCCTGACTCAGCCCACCTTCCTGTTACCAGCTATTTGGGGGCTCAGAAACGGATGATGGGTCCCAGGTGAGGAGGTGCCTCCGTGTGGAATCACCTCTCAACTCCCACATGGCACTACCCACACCGCTCAGGGCCGAGCTCCTTTGCTGCCTCTTCCTCCCTACCCAAGATCATGGTGAGGACAGACCTCACCCTCTCTGCTCATGGAGCCTTCTTTCCTCATTTCAATTATGAGGGCGGGGGACGGAGACCAGATGGCCTCCAAGTCCCCCTAGAAGTTGAGTCTGTTCTAGGAGCAGAGGAAAGAGAAGGAGCCCCACCCTCTGCTAGGGCAGGGCAGGGGTCGAGTCTGGTTTGTACCTGGGACCCCTTACTTCTCATGGACACAGCCCTTTAAAAGCCCTGGGCTGGGTGCCAGCACACTGGGCCACACGCAGATCCCTTTCCCTCTCTAGACCTGGGGAGGGTGATGATGTCGCACTATTCCTGGCTCAGGTCAGACAGCCATCCTTCCCCGCTGAGCACACAGGACTCAGCATCACCCATTCTGAAACGCCCTCCCCAGCAAACCACGCCACCGCCGTCCCTTCACCTACCAGTTTTTTGGGTCTGCCCCTTGGTTTCCTCCCTGGAGTTGTGGTAGTTTTCTAGATGGCCAGAGAAAAGATCCACTAAGTCAAAAATGTCCCTGGGACAGTCTTCACCCAATGACCAGTGCCCCAGTGGGAAGGGGCAGACCTACCTACCTCTGCTCAGGGCAGCCTGGGACTCTCACCCCAGCAGGCCCACCCGACTCCAGCTGGTGATGACTGGCCAGCCACACTGCACCCCCCCCACATACACACACGCCCCCCACTCCCTCCTCCACCCATGACTCAGAGGATATGAGTCGTGTCTCAGAAAAAAATAAAATAAAAAACAAAACAACCTCTCTGAGAGGCTGCTGTCACTGGGAATCCAGCCTTCCCTGCTCATCCCCATTCCCTCGGGATCCAGGGGGACCCCGGAATGGAACATTCTCAGCGCAGGGACTGGTGGAACAGCCCCCCTTCCCTCTTCCCGATTCGCCCTTCTCTAGGCAAGGAGAGCTGCAGGACTGCTAACTTGATTTCCCCAGAAGTGAGGTTTCAGTCCTCACCCTGCCTTCCCCAATTAGCCAAGACCCACTGCCACCCATGTCAGGGAAGAGGGGGCGGGGGACAGAATCAGGACAGGCCAGTGCCCTCCCAGACCTGCCCCCAGCTGTGGCCATGGGCCGAGGGGCCATCCCCATCCTGTGTCCTCACCCGGGTCTTGGCAGCACCCTTGTTTTTGCTTCCCTTTGGTCGGCCCCGAGGTCTCTTAGGTGTTGGCACTTCGCTGGGTTCCTTCTGCAAAGATAGATGGGGTAACCAGGGACCCACAAATGCCACCTGTCCCACCCCTTTCAAAAGACACAGCTCTCTCCCTAACCCCAGCAAGACTGAAGTCAGCAAGCCAGCACCCTGACCCAGAAATCCACAGGAGCCATGGCAGGCAAGCCCTTGTGATTCAAGTTCTCACTGTGACCATCTTTTGCAAAGCCCCTCCCACACTTCCCTGTGACAACAAGAGGACAAGAAACCAGAAAAGGGAAAGGTGGCATGGGGGCAGAAAGACCCTGTTGGGCAGCTTGGCCACCGCTGGGCTCTAAGCTCTTGGGCATGACATGGGATGCTTGGGCCTCGGTTTCCTCAACTGTAAACGGTGACAAGACTTAGCTCACAGGCTATCAGGAGACTAAATGAAGGGTGTGGAAGTGTCCAGCACTGGGCCAAGACACTTGCCTACTCTCTGTGCGGGATGCCAAAGAGGAGAAAGGATACCCCGCCACACTAGAGGGAGGCCTCCAGCCTCTACCTGCAAACTAGACTCCCTCCAGGCCACCATGCCTCCCAGAGAAGGAATTACGCCTGGATGTCGGAAACCGAGATCTCTGCCGTGGTTGCCGCTAAAATTTTAATAAGCCTGACAGAATAAAAAGCTGCTGCATAATGCATAGAAGCTGGGCAGTAAAGGCATGTCAGCTACGGTTTCGGGGTGGCTGCCCAAGGGCTGTTTAGAACCATGGTCCAGTAACCCAACACCCCCTTCTCGGACACCCCTCTGTGGACCCCAGCTAACAGGCACGAGGGAGAGGCCGAGGGAACCAGACTAAGAGAATGACTTCCCTCCACACACCGTGGGCTCTGGAAGAGGCAGCTGAAGCCCACCACTCAGACTCCTCATGGCTCATGTCTCCCCGAAGTCAGTACAGACCGTGCACTCCATCCTACAGATGGGGAAGCCCGAGGCCCACCATGCCAAGAGCAAGGACTGACCTCAATTCCTGTCCTCTTCCCCGGGAAAGGGAAGTAAGCTGGGCCTCACCAGCCGCCGCCCCTCTGAGAGAATCCAAGATGTCCACCGCATGATAGGTGGCCCCCACAGCCTGACTGGCCAGGTTCCCTAGTGTGCCCCATGCCCCAGAGTGCCAGCTAACCTAACCCCATGGGACCACAGCGGGGGATGGCACCAGGGTTCGAGGATCACTCTCTCGCCAACTTGCCCACATTTTTAAGTTCTCGGGCTTCCATTTCCTTTTACAGAGCCGGAGCGGAGCCTGGCCCAGGGCCACACGAAGTGAGGACCCCGGACAGGTGCCGGCCCAGGAGCTTTCTGTTATGGTCCTGGGATTCGGAAATCCAGAAACTGACAGTTAAGTATTTAGAAAT